CTCATTTGAATCCGCCGCGGGTGCAGACTGTGCCGGGCCCCCCAGGAGGCCCCGACCGTGGCGACAGTTTCGCAGATCGCAGCCCCCCAGGGATGGCGAGTTCCCATTTGAGTCAGTCGCGGGTGCAGACTGTGCTGGGCCCCCCAGCAGGCCTCGAAAGTGGCGACAGTTTCGCAGATCGCAGCCCCCCCCAGGGATGGCGAGGTCTAATCTGAGTCCGCAGCGGGTGCAGACTGTGCTGGGCCCCCCAGCAGGCCTCGAACGTGGTGACAGTTTCACGCGTCGCAGCTCCCCAGGGATGGCGAGGTCGCATTTGAATCCGCCGCGGGTGCAGACTGTGCTCGGCCCCCAGCAGGCTTCGAAAGTGGAGACAGTTTCGCAGATCGCAGCCCCCCAGGGATGGCGAGGTCACATTTGAGTCCGCCGCGGGTGCAGACTGTGCTGGGCAACCCAGCAGCCCTCGAAAGTGGCGACAGTTTCGCAGATCGCAGCCCACCCAGGGATGGCGAGGTCTAATTTGAATCCGCCGCGGGTGCAGGCTGTGCTGGGCAGGCCTCGAAAGTGGCTACAGTTTCGCAGATCGCAGCCCCCCAGGGATGGCGAGGTCTAATTTGAATCCGCCGCGGGTGCAGACTGCGTTGGGCCCCGCCAGCAGGCGTCGAAAGTGGCGACAGTTTCGCAGATCGCAGCCCCCCCAGGGATGGCGAGGTCACATTTGAGTCCGCCGCGGGTGCAGACTGTGCTGGGCCCCCCAGCAGGCATCGAAAGTGGCGACAGTTTCACAAATCGCAGCGCCCCAGGGATGGCGAGGTCTAACCTGAATCCCCGTAAGACGTCACTCCGCTGCCCCCCCCCCCCCCCCCCCAGCAGCCATCGAAAGTGGCGACAGTTTCACGGATCGCAGCCCCCCAGCGATGGCGAGGTCTAATCTGAGTCCCCGTAATTCGTCACTGTGCTGGGCCCCCCAGCAGCCCTCGAAAGTGGCGGCAGTTTCACAGATCGCAGCCCCCCAGGGATAGCGAGGTCTAATCTGAGTCACCGTAAGACGTCACTGTGCTGCGCCCCCCAGCAGCCCTCGAAAGTGGCGACAGTTTCATAGATCGCAGCCCCCCAGGGATGGCGAGGTCTAATTTGAGTCCCCGTAAGACGTCACTGTGCTGGGCCCCTCAGCAGGCATCGAAAGTGGCGACAGTTTCACAGATCGCAGCCCCCCCCCAGGGATGGCGAGGTCCAACCTGAGTCCCCGTAAGACGTCACTGCGCTGGGCCCTCCAGCAGCCCTCGGAAGCGGCGACAGTTTCACAAATCGCAGCCCCCAGGGATGGCGAGGTCTAATCTGAATCCCCGTAAGACGTCACTCCGCTGCCCCCCCCCCCCCCCCCCCCCAGCAGCCCTCGAAAGTGGCGGCAGTTTCACAGATCGCAGCCCCCCAGCGATGGCGAGGTCTATGAGTCACCGTAAGACGCCATTGTGCTGGGCCCCCCAACAGCCCTCGAAAGTGGCGACAGTTTCACAGATCGGGAAAATGTGAGGAGAGGAGGGGGACGGGAAGGAGGAGGGGAGACGCGACCGCAGTGTTCTAAAACGAGTACCCAACGCAGGAGGATGGGGAATTATTTCTAATAATTACCCTGGCGACGTACCCAACCCCTGCGCAAAAGCGGGGCGCAAATAGTTTAGGATACTTTATAAGGGGGCGATGACGGAGCGAGGGTTACATATGTCTGCAGACGGAATTCGGGAGACTCGCAGGGCACTGGCTATAGGAAAAGGGCTTGATAAAGCTGATGCTTTACACTTCCTGAGCACTCCTAGCCACTTCGAAAACAGGGATCACAGCATGCCTCGAAAGTGGCGACATGTTCACAGATCGCAGCCCCGCGGGGACGGCGAGGTCTCATTTGAATCTGCCCGTGGCCCTCACTGTGCTGGGCCCCCCAGCAGGCCTCGAAAATGGCGGCAGTTTCGCAGATCGCAGCCCCCCAGGGATGGCGAGGTCTAATTTGAATCCGCGCGTGGCCCTCACTGTGCTGGGCCCCCCAGCAGGCCTCGAAAGTGGCGACAGTTTCACAGATCGCAGCCCCCCAGGGAGGGCGAGGTCTAATTTGGATCTGCCGCGATTACCCTCTATGCTGGACCCCCCAGCAGGCCTCGAAAGTGGCGACAGTTTCACAGATCGCAGCCCCCCCCCCCCAGGGATGGCGAGGTCTAATTTGAATCTGCCGCGATTACCCTCTATGCTGAGCCCCCCAGCAGGCCTCGAAAGTGGCGACAGTTTCACAGATCGCAGCCCCCCAGGAATGGCGAGGTCTAATTTGGATCTGCCGCGATTACCCTCTATGCTGGACCCCCCAGCAGGCCTCGAAACTGGCGACAATTTCACAGCCCCCCGCAGGCAAGACAGAAAGAGGCGGGAAAGAGGCGGGAGGCGGGAGGAGGAAGGACGCGACCACACTGCTCTATTCAAAACGAATACCCAACCAAGGAGGGTTGGGAATAATACTAATTTTAATATTGATATTGCTACTGCTACTGCCATTCTTACTACTACTACTACTACTACTACTACTACTACTACTACTACTACTACTACTACTACTACTACTACGACTACTACTACTACTACTACTACTACTACTACTACTACTACTACTACTACTACTACTACTCTACTACTAACTATTACTACTACTAACTACTACTACTTCTACTACTACTACTACTACAACGACTACTATTACTACTATACTACTAGACACTACTACTACTACTACTTACTACTACTACTACTACTACTACTACTACTACTACTACTACTACTACTACTACTACTACTACGACTACTATTATTACTACTACTATTACTACTACTTCTACTCGTACTACTTATACTACGACTACTACTACTACTACTACTACTACTACTACTACTACTACTACTACTACTACTACTACTACTACTACTACTACTACTTCCACCAGTACTACTTCTACGACTACTACTACTACTACTATTAGTACTACTACTACTACTACTACTACTACTACTACTACTACGACTACTACTACTACCGACTACTACTAACTATACTACACTACACGACCGACGACAGTAGTAGTAGTTAGTAATACTACTACTACTACTACTACTACGACGAACTATCCCACTTCACTTCTACTTCGACTTCTACTACTACTACTACTACTACTACTAACACGACTATACTACGACACCTAACTACTACGCTGACTACTACGACTGCTACTACTACTACTACTACTACTAACTACTACTACTACTAACGACTGCTACTACTACTACTACTACTATACTACGACTACACACTACTACTACACTACTAACTACTGCTACGACTACTAACTACTACACTACGACTAAATACTAACTACTACTACGACTACTATACTACTATACTACTACTACTACTATGTACTACTACTAATACTACTACTACTACTACTACTACTACTACTACTACTACTACTACTACTACTACTACTACTACTACTACTACTACTACTACTACTACTACTACTACGACGACTACCTGGTGCGATACCCTGGGGAAGACCAGCCTCCAGGATGGCAGGCGAACCTCATTTTCTGTGTGGGGCATGCAATTGGAATCGCGCAGGAAAAAATGCGGCGTGGAGAAAGAGGAAAGAGGAATGGATGTTTTCACGGGCCAGCCCCTGGGGTGTTGGTAGTTCGCCATTTTCGGCGTTCAAGTGTGTTGCGTTCTTAGTGCCGACCCTTCCTGTAGATGCCATGTGCGGGGGGAGGGGCAATCATTATGGATTTGTTGCGGCTTGGTGCTGTGCTAAAGATATCGTTCCGCTAAACCCGCCCCCGCGATTTTTCAGATGGTCGTACCGGTGCTAACCGTAACACAGAGGTGATTCCTTAATTGCTGGATGAGGTTAGTGATAGCGAGGTGAAGCAACTCAAGGCTACGCAGCTGTTTGTAGCACAGGGGCGGCCTACTGCGTGTAGACCGAAGACGCCTACGGCGAACCACCACTGTCCCCTACCTTTTGGAAGCGTAGATGTGGCCAAACGCAGCCATTGGTTTACGTGTTCGCCAAGCCGTTCTGGACACCCTTGAGAGAATAATTGCAGGAGGAGGAGGAGGTACAGGCAGGACGTTGAAAGAAGGAGCACTTTGGGCCTAGGATGGGATCTGGTAGTCGGGCCGCTCCTCATATCTAGGTCGGGAAACTCATGTGTGGCCAGGACGAATTTTGGCCTCGAAGGCCAGTTCGTTCTTTATTCGGCGTTCGAGACAGATGATGATGAGGAGGAGGAGGAGGAGGAGGAGGAGACCTCTTGGGGACTCCGCCGGGCTTCTGAAAGCCTGGTGGGGTCTCTTCTGGGCCTCTTTTGGGGCCTCTTCGGGGCCTCTCGGGGTCCTCTGGGGACCTCTTGGGGGAATCTTGGCCTTCGGGGGCCGTCGCGGGCATCTGTTGGGGCGCTTCAAAACAGTTGTTGAAGTCTCTTTGAGCCCCCTTGGAGCTGTCTCGGGGGCCTCTTGGGATGTCCTGTGGCCCTGTTGGGACGTGTCGAGGCCCTCTTGGGCCGTTTTGGGGTTTTCTTGGAAGCCTTTGGGGCCGCCATCGGATGTCGGACGCCCGGAATGGTGCTACCACGAAGCCGATTGAAACACCGAAAGAGCAACAATGAAGTTTGCTATATTGGAACCCTCTTGCAGCGTCTTTAGGGCCTCTTACAGCGTCTGGAAGACATCTTAGGGCATTGTGGAGGTAGCTTGTGCTGTCGGGCGACTGTGGGGGGCTCTTGGACCGCCTTGGGCCCTCTTTGAAGCCTGTTTGTTGGGCTGCCTCGGGTCTACATCTCCATATAGGGGAGGATGTGTGAGGCAAAACGATTATTCTGGGCCGATGGGGTGGGCTTCGTGCGATTCATTCCGTTAAGACGGTGGTTCAAGCCGAATGCCATTGGGAGCCATTAAGAAGTGCCCAAAAGAGGCCAAACCAGTAACACGTTTTGCAGATCGAAGACGCCTATGCCATTTGGACACGCCCATGCGGCCAAACGTTAGGCCGATGTCTGGCCAAAGCCATTCACATCTTATGTGTTCCCCCGCTCTCAGAAGGCCGCGGCGCCCGAGACATCCTCCAGAACCGCTGGATCTGAGGGATTTTCGATTTATCCTTACCCCGATGCTGCCCCCGTACGGGCTTCGTCTCACTCCTGTGTGGTTGAGTTGCAGGCAGGGGAAGACCGTGCGGGTTGCTGGAAGGCTCGCCCACGGTGCTTACGGCGTCTGGTCCAAGGGCGTCGGCTTGCTCACCATGTTCTGCCTCTCGTACTTGATGATCGGAGTGGGCCAGGCGCGCCCACTGCGTAGTGCGCAGGGAGGAGTGGCAGCGAGGGGGAGCGAGAAGAGGAGGAGGAGGAGGAGGAGGAGGAGGAGGAGGAGGAGATAGGAGGAGAGGGGGAGGGAGGAGGAGGAGGAGGATAGGGGGAGGAGAGAGGAGGAGGAGGAGGAAGAGGAGAGGAGAGGAGAGGAGGGAGAGGAGGGAGGAGGAGAAGAGGAGGAGGAGGAGAGAGGAGGAGGCGGGGGAGGAGGAGAGAAGGGGGGGAGGAGGAGGAGGGAGAAGGGAGGAGGGAGGAGCGGAGGTGGAGGGAGGAGGAAGGAGGAGGGAGGAGAAGCGAGGAGGAGGAGGAGGAGGAGGAGGAGGAGGAGGAGAGGAGGAGGAGGAGGAGGAGGGGAGGAGGAAGGGGAGGGACGAAGAAGGAGCATGAGCAGGAGCATTGACTCGATGGGAGCCCGAGTCCCTCCTGCAGCTAGCAGGCCACTGCAGAAATATGAATATTCGCGATCGCCAGGGACTTGGGCGGCACGTTATTTTTTCTGAGCTTGGGGTGCAGGCCATGCCAGCACGTAGCCTGGGGCCGACTCCCCTGGCACCACCTGCACACTACAGCTTGCGCCCTTTCCTTTTAGCTCGAGGTTCTTGAGGGAACTCGATCATGGGCCGTCCCCACATGTCTACACCGTCGATGGGGGCACCCAGATTACTTCCGATCGCCGAAGGAGGAGAGGAGGAGAGAGAAGGGCGCCCGCGGGAATGTATCCCCACCCCCAGCGTTTGTCGCTCACCAGAGCACGGCCAGCATGATCCCAAGGGGCGACCGCAAAACAATGTTTGATCGCGACACGTCGCGCACTAGGCACTCGCTCACGCCCCCGAATTCCTGCTGTTCGGGGGGTCTGTTCCCACTGCCATGCGGACTGCCCGCTCCCTGCCCAGAGTGCTCGGGGGTTGCTAACGGTGCCCCTTGGGCCAAGGCGCCCCTAGCTTTTCGCTCCATCTTGGAGCCCGCGGGCCCTCTTGGGCCTCGTGATGGGGGTCCTCTGGAGGCCGTGGGGGTCTCCCTGGAAGTCCTGGGAGAGCCCCTTGGGCGTGTCGGCACCCCTGCATCCCTCGGACGAACACGGCTTGGGCCCCCGCGTTCCTCCTCCTCCTCCTCCTCCTCCTCCTCCTCCTCCTCCTCCTCCTCCTCCTCCTCCTCCTCCTCCTCTTCCCCTTCCTCCTCCTCCTCCTCCTCTCCTCCTCCTCCTCCGCCTCCCCCCCCCCTCCTCCTCCTCTTCCTCCCTCCTCCTCCACCTCCTCTCCTCCCCCTCCTCCTCCTCCTCCTCAGGAGAGACCCACCACCCACCAGCTAGGGCAGTGCTGGCCACCGCCGCCCCCCCCCCTCCCCGAGCTGGTGGCGCACCTTGTTCCCAGCGCCGCCCCCCGGAGGGTGCCCCGAGCACAGTGCCACCAGCTCGGGGGGGTGGGTGGGGCAGGTGGGCACGCCATGGGTAGGGGAGGGATGAGAAGGAGGAGCAGAACAGAAGGAGGAGGAGGAGGAGGAGGAGCAGGAGGCGGAAGAAGAAGAGGATGACCTCCCCATCCTCCATTCTGCCCCGTCCTGCCTGTGATAGCGGTGGTGAAAAATGAGCCCATCAGAGTTCTATGGATCTCTGGTGGTAGTGGCTCTTTTCTCTCATGAAGTGTGGACCCCAAGCAGCGACATGGTACAGCCTGGGTGGCGCGGTGCAGAGGAATACACAGCAGTGCAAGACAACGCAACGCAAGTCAACGCTGTGCAAAACAGTTCAGTGGAAGGCAATGGAACGCAAAGCGAAGACGCAGATCTACTCAAAGCAAAGCCATGCAAGGATACGCAGAGCTGTGACATGCAAGTCAAGGCAATGCATTCCAAGCGGCGACATGGTCTGCATTGGAGCGGCAATAACACAAATCGACGCAACCACGGGCGGCATCGAGCCGAACCGCCAGAAAATGCAGCCATTTCTTCAGCAACCAAGCAACCAGGCAAGACCCCCATGGTGAATTCATGCTTTTTGGAATGACAGGATGAAACAGACCAGACGGGGGACAGGAGGTAGGAGGAGGAGGAAGAGGAGGGGGAGAAGGAGGAGGAGGAGGAGGAAGAGGAGGAGGAGAGGAGAGAAGGAGGGAGGAGGAGAGAGGAGGGGGGGAGGGAGAGAGAGGAGGAGGAGGAGGAGGAGGAGGAGGAGGAGGAGGAGGAGGAGGAGGAGGAGAAGCAGGACGAGAGAGGGAGGAGGAGGAGGAGGAGGAGGAGGAGGAGGAGGAGGAGGAGGAGGAGGAGGAGAAGGAGGAGGAGGGGGAATGCAAGGAGGAGAGGAAGGAGGGTGAGGAGTGGCAGCAAAGGAAGGAAAAGGACGAGGAGGGGAGAAGGAAGGGAGCGCTGGAAGGAGTTCCACCTCGACAAGAGCAAGCTGGGCAGCTATGGCAAGGCTCCCCGCGGCTGCTCTCGATCTGCATCTCCTCCTCTCTCCGTGGCGGCCCTCTTGCCGGTGCCCCCGCTGGTTGAAGCCAGCCGCTCCTCCTGCCGGCGGCATGCTCTCAGGAACGCGAGCCGGGCGAACGCAGCCCTGTCACAGAGAGCACCCGTCCCGGTCCCTTGGCTCCCGGCCCCGCAGCCGCGGCTCTCTGCTCGCTTCGCGGGGCGCCTCCGCCCGGACTTGAGAGAGGCGGCCGCTCGCTCCAGATCCTCCTCGCAGCCGCTGCCCCCCCCACACCCCGCCCGCCCGCCCGAGCCTCCGCCGCCGACGCCGGCGACCGCGACGGGGCCCTTGAGGCGGTGCCTGCGGCGGCGGCGGCGGCGGTGCCACCACGGAGGTGGATGCGGTCGCGACGGCGCCAGCCCCGACCGACGGCGCGGCAGCGGCGGGCGCCCGGCGGCGGCGGGCGGCGCCCGACCCGCGCCCGACCGGGGCGGCTGTGGCGGCGGCGGCCGGCGACGGCGGCGGCCGCGTCGCTCGGCGGCGTCGCGGACGCGCCCGAGGACTACGCGATCGCCATGTCCGCCGCGGGGCTCCCGTGGCTCTTCGTCGCCGCGTGGCTGCACTACGCGCTGCCCAGCCCGCTCGCATGGGGCAGCGCGGGGGGGTAAGTCGTCGTCCTCCGCTCTTCTCTCCTCGGCCCCCCCCCACCTGCCCCCGAGTGCTCGGAAAGCGTGTTCCCGTGGCTTCTCGTTCCTTCGAGTGCTCGAGTGCACTGCGCGCTCGCGGCGGAGGTGAGATGAAGTCTGGACTACCATCGGAGTGTCTTGCATACTCGTGAATCTCAGACTCGGAGCACGACGACGACGAGGACATGAAGACCCTGCCCCCTCCTGCCTTCCGAGACCTCCCTCCTTCCGAGTTGTAGAGCTTAGCGCCAACACCAGTATCGGTGGTGTGCCTCCACAGAGGGAAGGTAATCCCGATCTCGTTGATGGAGGTAAGTAACATTCGGGCGTGTTCGGACTTTCTAGGTGGCCGGAAGATTCCCACCACCAGAATCTAGGATCATCTTCCCCTGGTGGAGGCACACCCCTGTGATAGGAGGAGAAATGGAGGAAGAGGAGGAGGGGGACATGTTTAGGAGGAGGAGGGAAAGTACGCATAAGCAGGAGATTGCAGAGGAAGGAGGATACGTCGTAAGAGTAAAAGTAGTATGGTAGCGGTGGATCAGGAGGCAGAGCGATGAGTAATGGTGGGTAATGGTGGCGGTGAGGAGGGATGAGTAAGAGGGAGGAGGAAAAGGAGGAGGAGGAGGAGGAACGTGATGGAGGCGAAGGAGGCGGAAGAGGAGTAGGATGAGGAAGAGGTGCGGGAGGAGAAGGGAGAAACGATGATTAGGAGGAGGAAGGATGATGAGCAGGTGGATGAGGAGGAGTAGGAGAAGGAGAGGTAAAGGAGGAAGATGGATGAGGTGGGTCAGGAGGTGGAAGCCAGGGAGGATGAGGAAGAAGAGGAGGAGGAAGAAGAAGGAGAAGAGGGCCCATCTTTCATCCAAGGTCCGCCTCCTCCTCATCGTCATCCTTCTCCTCTTCCTCCTCCTCCTCATATCTGCCCTCGATCCTCCTCCCCGCCCCGTGTCCTCCTCCCTCCCCGGTCCCCATCTTACGCTCGCCCCCCCCCTCTCCTCTTGCTTCCCCTTCTCTTGTTCCCCCCCTCCTCATCGTGCCGCCCCCTCCTCCTCCTCGTCCTTCTCCTCCTCCTCCTCCTCCCTCCTCCTCCTCCTCCTCCTCCTCCCTCCTCCTCCTCCTCCTCCTCCTCCTCCTCCTCCTCCTCCTCCTCCTCCTCCTCCCCCCCTCCCGGGGAATACAAGCTATAGCACCTGCACCCAGCAGCCCATCCTCCCTGGCCAGGCTGGGCCCCTGGGCCGGGAGCCCGGGACCGGTGCACGAGTGGGCACTCCTGGCCATTCTGGGAGGAGGGTTACGTCGGGCGTGTCCCTGTGCAGGGGGGGGCTTTAAGAATGGTCAAAACATGGTCTGGGGACGATTTTTATCAAGTGCTGATTGTTTTTGGCTAGTTTTGAAGATTGCTTGAGTATCTTGCATTTTTCTTCCAAGATCGGCCTGTAGGGGGACAGGCCCGACCTAAGAGGAGTGCTTACGGCAGGCTCGTGTCGTGCCGACGCAGTGGCGACCCCAGCGCCAGCGTTCGAGGGTGAGCGCCGCCGACAGCCCAGCAGCGGCCAGCACCAGGGGGCCACATGCGAACCCTACCCCTGCCCTCCCCCTCCTCCCTCCCCCTCCTACCTCCTCCTCCTCCTCCTCTCCCCTCCTCCTCCTCCTCCTCCCTCCTCCTCCTCCTCCTCCTCCTCCTCCTCCTCCTCCTCCTCCTCCTCCTCCACTCCTCCTCCTCCTCCTCCTCCTCCTCCCCCCCCGAAATCGTTCGGGGGCCCCCGAACGATTTCCCAGCGAAGTTAACCCCACCCTCCCCCTCCGGAATGGTGGGGGTAGGGGTAGGCTTCGCATGTGGCCACCTAAGCATGGATCAGCTTGGCAATCGGAGCCGCCGCTCGTTCAAGTTCGAGCGATGCACGCGCTGTCCGGAACCTGATCTGGCGTCGTCGCGAGACGAGCCTGCCGTAGACCAACCTTGAGACCAGGATTAGCTTCGCTAGGACCGATGTACGGAGCATGGCTGGCGCCCTCATCCCCGAGTCGTGAAGACGGCCTGGCCCGCCGCACGAGGCTCCGCGCTGCTGATGGCGCGGTTCGCAGCTCCGACGAGCGCCGGCATCCTGTTCAGCATGCTGGAGGCGGCGGGCTTCAAGGAGCTCGGCAGCCTCGAAGGTCGTCGTCGTCGTCGTCGTCGTCGTCGTCGTGGTCGTTGTGGGAAGGTGGGAAGGAGTTCTTCCAACGTCCGATGCCGTTCACCCTTCTGGTTCACGAGCACCACAAGGAGGACCCGGAAGAGCACAACTGCGAGGACGAGGACGCACTTTTCAATCGATTATGGGAACGGACGGCCCAATACGGAGAGCAGGAACATGGCGGCGGCCGATTTCAATTCAAGGTGAAAGGGACGCCAACGGCTCCGTGTCAGCGGTGTGGCTGTCGGGGACCAGAAGAGGAGGAGGAGGAGGCGGAGGAGGAAGAGGACGAGGAAGAGGAGGAGGAGGAGGAGGAGGAACTCGGAAGAGGAGGAGGACGACGAGGAGGAGGGAGCGGGGGCCGTGGGGGCGGTGGGGACCGTGGGGGCCGTGGGGGCCGTGGTGGGCGTGGGGGCCGTGGGGGCCGTACGGAGGGGAGGCGGAGGAGGAGGAGGAGGAGGAGGAGGAGGAACAAGAGGGAAGAAGAAATGGAGGGGGTGGGGAAGAATTGGCACGGACGAGGGACGATGGCACCTCCTCCTCCTCGTCCTCTTTTTGTTGTTCTTCCTTCCTCCCTCACATCCTTCTTCTCTTCCCCCTTCCCCTGCTTCCTTCCGAGGCCCTCCCCATCCTTGCCCGTTTTCTTCCCCTCGCTCGTTTCCCTGCTCCCTGGCCGCCGCTCCTCCTTCAGGGTGGAGGAGGATGGGACAGGGAGAGAGGAGGAGGAGGGAACGGACGCTTGGGGGAAGAAGGAGGACAACCGTGACAAGAAGGAGGGAGAGGACGGAGGAGGAGGAGGAGGAGGAGGAGGAGGAGGAGGAGGAGGAGGAGGAGGAGGAGGAGGAACGAGAGGGAAGAAGAAATGGAGGGGGTGGGGAAGAAAGGGCACGGACGAGTGACGATGGCACCTCCTCCTCCTCGTCCTCCTCTTTTTTTCTTCCTTCCTCCCTCATCTCCTTCTTCTCTTCCCCCTCCCCCTGCTTCCTTCCGAGGCTCTCCCCATCCTTGCCTGTTTTCCTCCTCTCGCTCGTTTCCCTGCTCCCTGGCCGCCGCTCCCTCTTCAGGGTGGAGGAGGATGGGACAGGGAGAGAGGAGGAGGAGGAGGAGGAGGAGGAGGAGGAGGAGGAGGAGGAGGAGGAGGAGGAGGAGGAGGAGAAGGGAACGGACGCTTGGGGGAAGAAGGGGGACAAGCGTGAAAAGAAGGAGGGAGAGGACGGAGGAGGAGGAGGAGGATGAGGAACAAGAGGGAAGAAGATATGGAGGGGGTGGGTACGAAAGGGCACGTACGAGGGACGATGGCACCTCCTCCTCGTCCTCCTCTTTTTGTTCCTTCCTCCCTTATCTCCTTCTCTTCCCCCTTCCCCTGCTTCCTTCCGAGGCTCTCCCCATCCTTGCCCTTTTTCTTCCCCCTCGCTCGTTTCCCTGCTCCTTGGCCGCCGCTCCTCCTTCAGGGTGGAGGAGGATGGGACAAGGAGAGAGGAGGAGGAGGGAACGGACGCTTGGAGGAAGAAGTGGGACAAGCGTGACAAGAAGGAGGGAGAGGACTCCCTGGCCGCCGCTCCTCCTTCAGGGTGGACGAGGATGGGACAGGGAGAGGAGGAGGAGGGAACGGACGCTTGGGGGATGAAGGGGGACAAGCGTGAAAAGAAGGAGGGAGAGGACGGAGGAGGAGGAGGAGGAGGAGGAGGAGGAGGAGGAGGAGGAGGAGGAGGAGGAAGGAGAAGAGGAAGAAGGAGGAGGAGGATGAGGAGGGGGAGGAGGAGCAGGAGGAGCAGGAGGAGGGGGAAGCGGAGAAGGGCTTCCCTTCCCCTTGCGCGCCTCCCTCCCTGCCTCCCCCCCCCCCCCGCGAGGCAGGCCCTCGGGAGACCCCGCGCGAAAGACCTCCGTGGAGCGCCCGCTGGTGTGCAAGAGAGCCTGCACGCGAGAGACGGCTGGAGCATGCGAGCAGGGCTCCCCGAGACCGCCGACGCGGGGGGGGGGGGGGAGGTCGCCGCCCACCAAACCACCCCAACCCAACCCGAAGGCCCAAACTTGCCTTTCATTCCCAGTGGGGGGGGGCGCCGGGGAGCATTGAAAAAGCACGTGTGGAAGTCGTACTCCCCCCCCAACCCGAAATTGGGGTCTTCGGGTTAGGTTGGGGTGGTCTGGTAGGTAGTCAGGGGGGGTCGACGATTCGCTACGTTGCCGCGCATTGCCACCTCGGGGTACATGTCGAGGATTCGGAAAGTTGCCGCATCGCTACCGCTACACCGCATGACATGGCCTGCAGTCCGAAGGTGCAGTAACCCATTGTTTCGGGTCCACGCTGTCAAATATTTGTCGAGTAGTTCTGGACGCCTCGCGTAGCCCCACCAGCCCATCCAGAAACGATGCCCAGGCGAGTGGCCTTGATCAGGGATGTGGAGAAGAATGCAGTGGAATAGAAGGCTGGGAAGCCGTTATGTCCCAAGAGGGGGAGGATGGAGGAGTAATTGGAGGAGGAGAGGACGGAGGGGGAGGGAGGAGGAGCGAGGGTAAGGATGAATAGGCGAATAAGGGAGGAGGAGAAAGGAGGAGGAGGAGGAGGACGAGGAGCGGAGCGGAGCGGAGCGCAGGAACGTCCCGGGGAAGGAACGGGCCGGCTAGCGGCCGGCGCTCTGAGGCCGTGGCCCCTCATGTGTCGCAGGCTTCCTTGGCCTGCTTGTACGTCTCCAGCGCCTCCTCGTGCTTCTCTTGGCAGGGTGCCTTTTCGGCGTCGCCCATTGCGTCCCACTTCTCCCGGATAGGCTCGTGCCAAGGCTTGGATGGATGCGCCTTGCATTGCTGACGAAACTCCTGCCTCTCCGCGATCATGCACTGCCCATGCGTGCCCCCGGCCGGCTTCTTGGGCGCGCCTTTGACTAGGATCAGCTTGGTGTTGTGGCTCGCTGTCTCCTCCTCCTCCTCCATCGCTCGTCCTGCTCCTTCCCGTCGTGGTGCCGCTCGCAGTCCATGTCCTCGGATGCCTCCAGCCCGCCAGGCTGCTATGCTCCTCGGCCTTAATGTCTGGGTTCCGCCGGTCATGCTGTTCCGTATCATTATTTCTCGGTTCCTTGAACTCGGTGCTCGGGCCGTCATTTGCGTGTTTGAAAACGGTTTTACATCCGTGTCGCCAGTCACGTTCTTGTCTACAGGAACATAGGAGTGGTTCGCGTCGCTCAGCTCCAGGAACGCCGGGCTGCGGGATAGCATTGTTCCATCCTGTTGTTGCCGGAGCCGTTGTTGTTGACGTTATGGCGTGGGGGCGAGAACAACACATCAGCGCGCTCGTCCATTGCCAATGCCCTTACGCCTATCAGTTGCCGTTCGATGAGTTCTATTGTATATGACTTTTGGTCTCGAGCGCCGCGATCTTCTTGAACACGGTGTTGAACATCTCGAAGACAGTTGTGTTGAACGAAGTCGTCGCTGCATGACGAGGGGGAGGGTCCGAACTCGGCAGGAAGATGGCTTTGCACTCCCAGGTGGGGCATTGAGCGCCATGACTGTTATGCGTATGCTCGCTTTGCGGGCTGCGTTTCAAACCCTTGATCCACTTGATCCCCTTGATACAGGAAGACAAGGAGGATTTGGGATTCCGACGCCGATTAAGTTGTGAGCCTGTCTGCAGCAGGCCAGCACGCAACTAGCAGTACATGAGGCAGGCTAAAGATTATGCACGGGCACCAAGGAGCTCTGAGAGCAGTGTTTTTTCCCACCTGTATGCCACCATACCTCCGACAGACCCTTCTCCTCAAATCAATCAGCTGGGCAGGCATCGGGTCGTATACAGGATTGACTACTGTAGCGCGGGCACTCGGCCACTCGGGAGGGGGAGGGGGGGAGGGAGGGAGGATGTATGATACTGAGAAGGAGAGAGTAAGATTGGGACACAGATGTAATATCCCCAGCTTCGGGAGGAGGGCGGCAATGAGAGGGACGGTAGAGGTAGGAAGGCATACCTAACACCTCTTGCCATGTGCGCGCTCCTTGCCAGTCAGTGCTGCACAATTTGGTATAACGATAGCGCCGAATGAAAGTGTGAACGACGACAACAATGTGAAGGCGTATAGTCCGTCTCCCTGAGAAGGGAAGGAAGATCATCTTCGGCCCCCAACCCAGGACGCACGACGAGACGGCGGCGGAGCACAGGCGCGATTATTATCTGCGCGCGCAAAGCCGAGAGAGGAGCATGTGGCGAGGCCAATTTCTGATCAGTCTATACTCCTTCTCCTAGGGAGGGTGCTTCGGACAGGCCAGTCTTGCCATTTGCGGAAGCCGCGACATATATTGCTAACTCTGCATTTGGGTCGGCTGGGCTTTGCGTGGGTGGCGGGGGAGCAGGCAGAGGCCCTGGCTGCTCCCACCTGTGCACGTGCTGAGCAGTTGATGTCACATTCTCGCAGTGAGCGAGAGATGCTGAAACGACTGGGACTCGCTACACACGGGCCCCATTCCACAGCAAGCCTGATATTCGAACAGGAGGCCGGCTGGAGGGCAAACGTCATCACACGCTCGTGGTCAACTACAGGCCGCACCTTCCGCGACGTGGGCAGGGCGGCCACCAGGGCCCGTTCGACGCCGTGGGCCTTGGCGCACGCCCTCGGCCGTCGTGTCCCCGCCATCTTCCCGGCAGGAGCCGGTGCTCAGGCGGTGGAGGTCCTCCACGACGTCCGGCCTGCGCCGCTCGCGGCTTGTCTCGGGCCTCCACGATCGACTCCCTCGCCTGCGCCTCGGCGTGCTCCTTGTCAAGCGTTGCCACCAGCGCGCGGCGTGCTTCGCGGGCAGCGCTCCTGCCCTCCACAGCCTTCCTGGCGGCCTCCGCCGCCGCTGCGGCGTCCATGCAGAGCGCGCCTCCGACGGCCCGCTGCGGAGCAGTCCGCGCGCAGAGAGGTAAAGTAGGCGACCACGTCGGCGGAGCGGCAGCAGCTCCGGAGGTACCGAAGCGGGCAAGCTCAGGAGGCCCTTGTGGTTCGCGGAGCGCGGGCGCCCGCGCCAGCGGCAGCAGTGTCCGATGGATGGGGGTCCGGCACCAGCCCAGCGGCCACGCCACCGCCAGGATAGCGAATGGCAGCACCAGCAGGAGGGCGATGAGCAGCATCTCGATCAGGTGCGGCAGCTCCGCGAACAAGCCCGAGTCCAGACACTGGCATGAGCAGGCGGCACCTCGGATGGCACATGATGCTGACGGGGAGAACCGGCTGCGATAGCGAGGCTGGCCATCGGGGCTCAAGAGACGGGGGTCCATGCAAACGGGGGTCGGCCAGAGCGCCGGATCTTCCAGGATCCTGCAGGGCCAGGGTCGCATTGAGCCGGACTTGGGCGCAGGATTCTGCAGGATCTTGTAGGATCTTGTAAGGCCTGACTGACCTGGGCCTGGATTCAGGGGAACAAAGGATGTCATGAACATGAAAGCTCGGAGTTCCGCGCGGGTTTCTCGGATCGGCGCCGGGCCCACCGTGCAAGATCCTACAAGATCCTGCAGAGTCCTGCCAGATCCTACAAGACCCTACGAGGTCCCATAGAGGGCCACTCTCCGTTCCCTGAGGATTGGCCACGTCGCTCGTGCGAGGTCGGTGGCCGACCCTGGCCGCGCAGCTGGGCCTCCGCGCAGCAGCACGAGGCGTCGGCCCTCGGGCGGCTGCCGCCGCGCCGGCCGCGCAGCAGCTCGGGGCGCGCGGCCGCAGGGGCGCCCTGCCGGGAGGCGCCCGACGGGGGCGGTGTTCCCGGCTCGAGCAGTGGCGAAGCGCCCTGGCTCGCCTACAGGCCCCCCAGAGAATGCTCTAAGAACCTTCTTGTGGTCTGCACGAGAAGTTCTCAGGACATCTCTGGCTGGGACCGTCCTGCTTTAACGCATCGGATTTGTGTTCTGAGAACAGTGCTGTTGTTCTTAGAACACGTTTGCGCTCTAAGATAATTTCGTGGTGGGCCTAAAGGAATGCCGGGCCGGTCGGTCCCTGCTCAAGCGGCAGCAGACCCGTGGTCAGAGTCAGCACACTGTGTGTTGCAAGCGGTCCTTGTCCCGAGACAGCACCGTAGACGCGCTAACGGTGTGTTAGCTAACGGCGACGTATGAAAATCAGCTGTAGGAAGCATGGTTCGTGGCCGAGCCACCTGTAGGAGCGCGTGGTCCGTGCTTTCCTAGAACTCGCTGTGACGTTTTCGCTTGATACATTCGCTGGAATGGAAGCGGTGGTTCGTGATGTCCTACCTTCTGTTCTGCGTGAGCTTGGTGTCACAACAGCCAGATCCCCAACCGCACCGTGTATCAACCACGCCGTTACCGCGGCCTTAGCGGCAGCTGAGGGGGGGGAGGAGGAGCAGGAGGAGGAGGAGGAGGAGGAGGAGAAGAGGAGAAGAGGAAGGCGAGCGGAAAGGCCAGAGGCCTCTTGGATACTCCTCGGAGTCGCTTCGTATGTGTCTCCAGAGCTTCTTGGTGTTCTCTTGGGGCGTCCAGGGGGCATCTTGGCCGTCCCAGGGGCCTCTTGGAGCGTCTTGGGTGCCTCGGGGGTGCCTCTTGGGGGTCTCTTCTCTTGGGGGTCTCTTGGGGGCCTCTTGGGGGCCTCTTGGGGCCTCCAGGGCGCCTCGTTCGGCCCTCTTGGGAGCCTTGGGGGCCATATTGGAGGAGATCGATCAAAGAAGGGGGGGGGGTAGTACACTACCGTCACCCCCCAAGAGGCCAACCTGTGGCCAAGACCTTCGCTTCCTCGCCGAGACCGTCTTGGACGCTCTGACGCGTCGCGACCCCCCCCTCCAGACCCAGGGGGAGGGGCGGAGGGGGAATGGGCAAGCCCCTCCCCGAAGGGGAGGGGGGTTGGAAGAGGATCCCCCCTACGTAAACCGCTCACGCCCTCGTTTTGGGACCCCCCCCTGAACCACTCACGCGCTGAACCACTCACGCCCGGAGGGGCTGGTGAGGTTTCTCGCTCCAAGGCCACGCCCGAGAACTTCCGCTCCGCGTGCCGCGCCTGCCGCATCTGGCCCTCCTAGCCTCGGCGCGACGCGCCAAACACGTCCAGGTCCAAAAGCATCAGCCATGCGCAGAGGGGGGGCAGGGGGGAGGGGGGAAGGCTTCTTGAACGCACCCCTGCCTCTTAGAAGGCGCGGGCCCCACATCCACAGATGCAGGGCCCGCGCCTTCTGAGAAGCAGCCCTGCGTCTGAGAACCCTTTCCCCATCCCTCTACCCCCTTTGTACGCGCCGCCAGGGAGCATCAGCGTCCCCTGAGATCCTGGCGCTGCATTTTTTTCACAATGGGCGTTTTCGCCCAGTCTCAGGCCCTGGGACCCTCACAGATCGATCCGGCTCGAAAAATGCTGCACAAAGATAGGGTCCGGGGCTCTGGTGGTGATTTTTCGCGATGTCGCATTTTTTCTGCAACGTCGGATCTCAGGGTCTGAGCCTCCTCGGGAAAAAAGGCCGGGTGGGGGGGATAGTCTCCAGGAGGCCAGGACGTGTTGCGGTGGGGTGCTTTGGTTGAGGAATGCGGCCAGGAGGCTATATCTTATCTGATGAGCTCGGCGGTGGTATCCACGGGCCAATCCACGATTGGGGTTCCGCTGGCTTCCTGGCCCTGCATTCCTTATCCAACTGTCCTTTATCCAATGCCCTCACTGTAGGCAACTGAAGGCACGACTGAGCGGAGCACGCGGCCCGGCGTCGAGCTGGGGCAGACCCGTCTGCCCTACGGGCCCTCTCTCTCTCTCTCTCTTTCTTTCTCTCTCTCTCTCTCTCTCTCCTCACTGTAGTTGATAAGAGGCGGCATCAGGATCGCTGGAGTGTTCTAGCGGGCCACGGGGTCTGTAGCCCGCGGCGGAGCGCCTTAGCCTTCGGCCGCCCCACGAGCACGCGCTGCATCATCCTGGTAGTGATACAGTCGGGGCCCTGAAGAAGGAACCCTTTTCGTTGGGGAGGGGCTCCGCGTTCCTTAAGTGTTTCGCAGCTTGCCTCAGGCTTTCCTTATGTTTCCGACAGGAACTCGAAGGTTAATTTATGGAAAAAAGGGGCCTCGTTCCTTATTTAGGGTTCCTTAGGTCAACGCCCCGACTGTATCACGGGTTGGCGTGACTCGCGATGCTCTGTCTGGTAAGGCTCCAAGTTGCGCAAAGACAGCCGCCCCAGGTAGCCCCGGCTGGCCTCAACAGACTTCCCAAGTAGTCCCAGCTGGCCTCATCAGGCCCCCCGAGTAGTCCTGGGCAGCCTCAACACACAGACCCTGAAGCGCGGGGCGCCCCAGGAACCCCGCTGGAGTCGACCCCGGGGTGTTGAGACCGCCCCAGGTTACTCGGGGGGCAAGCCTGTTGAGGCCAGTTGACACTATTCAGATGGGCCGAAGAGGCCAGCCGGGACTACGTGGGGGGGCGGTCTGTGCGCAACCAGAAGTCTGTCCAGTTCTGTCCGAGGAGACATGGCTCTTCCAGAAGGCGAGGATTCTGGCGATCTTCGATGACCTGGATACCATTCTGCTGATGATCCCTCTGAAGATGTTCCTCGTCGGCTTCAAGTGGGAATTGACCGTCGACGCGGTGTTCGTCTCTGTGTGCCTGTTCCTGGCTTGGCAGAAGCTGCACAATATTCGAGCTGCTTCGCAGAAGCTCGCCTGGAATCCCCCATGAGGCGTCTACCCAAACCTTCTGTGCGCGCTGGAACGTAAAAGACACAAGGTATCTGCCCCATGCTGACGTGTTTCAGGCGAGGACTCATTATGCGAGTGCACCCGGATAGTTTCTTACGCTCCAATGCTGAAACGAAGCACGTCTGGAACGACAGCATTCGTGTAAAGTTTTGAGCAATAGCGAGGTCACGTCAGCACCAGCAAAAGCCGTATAGATCGATTCGCCTTCCCACCAACAGTTCGAACAAAGATCTCTGCAAGTCGAATCGTCTGCAGAAGGACGTCCGTTCGGGCGTTGTTCGGGGTGTGTGTGTGTGTGTGGTGTCAGCGGTTTCTCGGTCCATCCCGCCACCGTCCCTGGGTCGTGGACAAAGCCGTTCCAGGCCTCGAGCAAACCACTAAACGCGACAGGGCTGCTTAGGGCTCGTTTGGGGGGCGCTTGCGACGCCATGCAACGTCCCAAGAACAGCATTTAGCGCGAGGGTGCCCGTCAGGTTCGCCCTGTTGGGCCCCTCTCGGGAGCCGCTTGGGCCCTTCTTGAGCTTTTCTTGCGGACCTCGGGGGCCCTCTTGGCTGGGGCTCGTTCGGAGGATTCTTGGGTCGTCTGAGATGGTTCTGGAGTCCGAACTGGCGGGGAGAGCAAACCCATACAACAAAGAATCACCAGCCTTTCAAGCATTGTGGCCTCGTGGGCCGGCCAGCCCCCCACGGACCCCTCCAAGAGAGCCCCAGGACGGCCCTATGGAACTGTCTGGGGACACTTCGGATGCATGGACCTCGAACCACGCCTAGCATGGCCTCGGGACGAGTCACGATCCAAGCCCAGAGAGCGCCCAGCAGTGCCCAAGAGTTCTGGGAATGCAGGGCCTGGGGCCTGTCCAGAGCTTCTACAAGACTCAGTGCAGAGAGCTCAGGGGAACCTGACGACATTTTTCTTCGTGCATCGCTGCACGTTGGAGTGTCTGTTGCGCCACGTGCAGGCGTGCACTCGCCCAGTCAGATCAAGAACCTGGTTTCTGGAGTGGGTCTCAGAAACCTTTTGCTGGGGTCTGGTGAACCCCGCCGATGCTGGTTGGGCAACCCGGCTTGCCTTTCAGAGTTGACTCGTCGTTGCGGCGGAAATCCAGCGGAAGTAAGAAGCTGCCCTCCACGAGGCGACAAGTTTATTGGGTTCAGGGCTTCCAGAATCGGCCAGATAACGAACCCACCTCCCCTTCTTTCGTGAAGAGGCTTTTGGGGGCGAGTTTTCACGACGCCCCGCCTTGCTGAACGTGTTGAGCTGCTGGTTATTTCTCCGTGCCCGAGTTGGTGTTGAATCTTGGGCGAAATTCCAGGCCGCTACACCGAAAAGTCTTGCGGGGCGACGTGAAGGAGTTAGTAGCAATGACAAGGTCTAGGGGAGAGGGTTGTGAGGAGAGGAACTGCAGCAGGATGCGCAGGGGGAAGGCGAGGAGGGGGAGGAGGGGGAAGAGGAGGAGAAGAAGGGAGAGCAGTAGGAGGAGGAGGAGGAGGAGGAGGAGGAGGAGGAGGAGGAGGAGGAGGAGGAGGAGGAGGAGGAGAAGAAGGGGGAGGAGGAGGATAAGGCAACGGGAATTTGGAAGAGGAGGGAATCGGAGGGGGGGTGAGGAGGGAGGGAGGGAGGGAGGGAGAGAGAGAGGGAGGGAGAGAGGGACGAGGAGGAGGAGGACGAGGAGGAGGAGAGGAGGACGAGGAGGAGGAGGAGGAGGACGAGGAGGAAGAGGGACCCAGCCCAGGAGGATAGCCTCTGCCCACCCCAGGCCCGGAAGCTACCCTTGCTGAGGGTCGGGGGATTCAGCTGCCGAGCAGATGGAATTGGACCCTCGTGTACGCGGCGGTCATGACTTCAGCCTTTGACACTCATTCTACACCTCCCTCCCCCTCCTCACTCCTCCTCCTCCTCCTCCTCCTCCTCCTCCTCGTCCTCCTCCTCCTCCTCCTCCCCCTCCTCCTCCTCCTCCTCCTCCTCCTCCTCCACCTTCCTCTCCTCGCTCCTCCTTCGTCCCTCTACTCCTACTCGCTCCTCTTCGCCCACGCCGCATCCTCTTCTGCCTCCTCCCCGCCCCCGCCCTCGTGATCGGAGCCAGCCTCCGCCTCAGACCAGGCACTTCTTCCCTCCTCCCTCTCCCCCTCCCGTGGAAGGAGGGTGCAGGGGGGGGGGGGGGGGGGCAAAAGGCTTTCATCGCCAACTAATGCAACATCGTGGGCAAGTCGCGACCAGAGCCCTGGACCCCAGCTTCCTGCAGTGTCCCTCGAGCCTGATCGATCCGTCAGGGACCTGGGACCTGATTCCCCAATCAGAGCTTGCCTCTGTTGGGGTCCTAGCGGATTTAAGGGTAGGTGAGGTGTGCCGCCGATTCGGTGCCCGGGGGCCCAGGTGCCTGGGTGCCCGGGTGCCCGGGTGCCCGGGTGCCCGGGTTCGCCGCCGATTCGGTGGCCGGGCCCGGGTGCCGGGTGCCCGGGTGCCTGGTGCCCTGTAGCCCTATAGCCTTATAGCCCTATATCCCTATCACCCTATAGCCCTATAGCCCTATAGCCCTACCACCCATATTGCCATATAGCCATATAGCCCATGTAGCGCCCAAGAGCCCATACAGCCCTGCAGCCCTATGGCCCTACAGCCCTAAAAAGATTATGATTGGTTCTTCTCTGGTATCATATGATATTACCGGGCTCAGGAGAATCCCGGAATGTGAAAATCATGTGACGCGCGGATCTCAGGCACGAATCCCTGACGTCGTAGTTTTTCATCGTGGTTCCCCAGGAGGTCTGGACCCCTCCCCGTGGACCAGGTTTTCGTCCTCCTCCGCTCTCTGTAGAATGGTCCCGGGGCCCAGTTGGGGCCCCGAGGGACCGAGAACGATCCAAAGCCTCCCGTCGCGACCTTTCCCGACCCGAGGGGGGTTTGGTGGGCCCTCCCTCCTCGCTCCTCCCCGACCCCCCTGCTCGGTCATCACCGCCGCCTGCGAGGGCGCGTACGTCCTCTCCGGGGGCGCAGTGCACCTCGAGGTGCTGCTGCCCGCGTTCACCATCGGCGCCGCGACGCGGATGTGCCAGGAGCGGCGGGGAGGGGGCGCGGCTCACCAGAGAAAGAAAGAACCACCACCCAGTCGTGTTCCCAGTCGTGTTCGTCATAGTGGCGTTGCATGTGACGCTGGTGCTGCTGCGTTTGGTGTTGCTGTTTGTTGTCGTTGCGGTCACAATGTTGCTGCTGGCGGCGCTTATGCTGTGTCGCGTAGTGCTGCTGCTCCATTCCCCGTCGTGGTCGTTATACTGGTGCTGCTAGTGTCGCTGGTGTTGGTGCGCGTGCTGGTGGCGCTGTTTGCTGTCGCGTTGGTCAGAGAGGTACTGCTGGAGTCGCTTGTGTGGCTTGCACTACTATTTCTTCTGCTGTTGGCTTTGGTACTGTTGCTGCGCATGGTGTTGCTGTGTCTGGCGCTGCTCGTCTCAGTGGCTCTGCTGGTTGCGCTAGAGCCGGTGCGCGTGTTCAGTGGGACACCTCGCCCACGATTGCGACGGATATTCTCGCCTCCTCAGTGGCCACATCCACTATATCAACTTTGTGTTGGCCTGAACCCAGGCCGCATCCATGGTTGGCAGCGCAGGCCACATCCATGATTGCGAATGTTGGTCTCGCATCTTCGCCGGCCACGTCAATGATTGCGACTGTTGCTCTCGCTCCCGTGCCAGCCACAATCGTCATTGCGAGCGTCGCTCTCGCCTCAGCGCCAGCCACATCCACGACTACGACGGCTGCTGTCGCCTCAGTGCCAGCCATACCCATGATTGCGAACGTTGCTCTTGCCTCAACGCTGGCCACATCCATGATTGCGAGTGTTGCTGTCGCTTTGGAGCTGGCAGAATTCACGATTGCGAATGTTGCTATCGCTTCAGAACCAGCCACATGCACGATTGCTAAAGTTGCTCTCGCCTTAGCGCTGGCCACATCCATGATTGCAGATGTTTCTGTCGCTTCAGCGCCGGCCACACCCACGATTACGGAAATTGCTTTCGCCTCAGCGCCAGCCACATTGACGATTTGACGATTGCGAAAGTTGCTCTCGCCCTAGCGCCGGCCACATCCATGATTGCGAGTGTTGCTCTCGCCACAGCGCCAGCCACATCCATGATTGCGAAAGCTGCTCTCGCTTCAGCGCTGGCCAGATTCTTCATTGGAAACGAAGAGGGATTAGTGATACAATTGGCACGGTTGCATTGCATGTTGCTGTGTCGCCCCATTCTGGTCCATCATTTGCTACAGCGCTTGCGTGGCGCACTGGTGTCGCCGAGCCGTTGGCCACGGTAACTTTAATGGGTCAGGTCAGCTTCGGCGCAGTGTCGACAGGACCTGGGTCAGGTCAGGGTAGGGATTGGCTACGTTGGGGGTGGGGGGGGTGCAGCGTGGGCTCTGTGGATCGATCTTTCAGCGGCTCCTGGGCCTTTTAGACTGGCCGAGGTGCGTGTTGGGGACCTCTTGGTCTGGTTTGAATTCGTCTTGGGGCCCTCGTGGGGGCCTCTTGGCCCGTCTTTGGGCGATCTTCCTGGCCTCGTTGGCCGTCTGGGACGTTGTAAACGCCCAAGAGGCGAATGTGCCAACATGCATGTTTTCCGAATGGAATGGGACGTTTTTTGCTTCCAGAGGCCCTTCTTTGGGCGCCTCTTGGGGGCGTCTTACAGGCCTCTGGGGCTTTCTGGCGGCCAGCATGTGGGCCCACGTTGTCTCCACAGGCCCACGTTGCGCCAATCGTTTTTTCCTGACAACTGGACTTGCCGAGCGTGCCTCTACCCATTTCGGCGCGAGAGGCAGGAGACTTGGTTGTTGTCGCGACCTGTAGCCTTGGTCGCTTGCGTCCTTTGGGGGGGTGCGTCTCCAGAGGTCTCCAGGACTTGCCAGGAGGCCGTGTCGCATTGGCGCGCTACATACCCGATCGCCTGGCGTCCTTTGGTGCATCGGCGCTGCGCACAAGTATATTTATATGTATGTATGTATGCATGTATGTATGCATGCATGCATGTATGTATGTATGTATGCATGTATGTATTTTTCTCGATCGATGTATGATGTGTGTTTATGTGGCGTTTCGTATTTCATTGCGTTGCATCGCGTTGCCGGGTCGGTCTGCATTATTCTGCCATGCTTCACCCTGAAATAAGGGGCTTTCCTGTGACCAGTGCCTTTCGGGCTCCCTATGGCTCCCTCTCTGCATCCAGGAGACCGACGAGTGGTGCGAAGTCCTGGACGAGGGACAGGAAGAGCGAGTGCGCAGCCGCGTGGCCACGGTCACCGCATTGCTTCGGGACCAGCAGTGCCCCCAAGAAGTGCGTATTCGAGTGCTGTAGGTAGCCTCAGGTGGAATCGGATGAAGGCTTCAGCGTTTGTCCAGTGTTGCTTTGCGTTGTTGTCCGGAATGATTGTGCTATTGCAGGCGTCAAGTTGTGAATGTTTTCCAAGTCATGCGTGAGTGATGTGGAGTCCAGTTGGTTCGGGTGAAGGTTTGAGTTTCTGTCCAGTGTCATTTCGCATTGTTGTCTGGAGTGGTTGTGCTGCCGTTGGCGTTAACCAGTATATTAATTTTCACGGGGCTGGCACACGCTTCGATCCAATCGTAGGTTTCTCCTTGTGCCGTTTTTAATGCCGCCTAGGCTTCCGTCGAGGAGCCAGGGCCGTTTTCAACAGGAGGACAGCTTCAAATCCAGTCAAGGCGCAGGAGTCGTTCCGTCTGGGACGCAGGTCCCGTCGAGACGCTGGTTGCTGCTCGGTGAATGTGTTGTTTCTGTCAGGGCCGCAGTGTCGCTTCCCGCAAGACATGCGATCCCTGTTGAGTTGCGAGCGTCGGCTTCGCAAGGAACAATGGAGGGAGACGAAGAATCCAGCGCGACTCCAAACGGGATTAGTTTTTCTGATGGCAGCATGCTGCATTAAACCTGCCCTACCATCCAATCAGGAAGTTGTCCTCCTTCGGGGTCCTCAGTATCATATTTTTTTCTTGCTTGTGCAGGGGGCTGTGACTGAAGTGGCCGATGGAAACCCTTGTTGACTTTATGTGTTCAACGGGCCCATCCACTAGACCATGCAAGGTTACGGATTCATCCGCGCATGTTAGCAGGGCGCGCGCGCGGCTCGCGTGCTAGTATGTCAGCGGCGGGGTGCAGACGTGCGTGACGTTCACTTGCCCACGCCTTTAACATGGACTGTCGCACAACGCATCTGTCCTGCTAAATCGGCAGCGAGCCCTGGGGGCAGGTGCGAGGGGGTGGGCCTTCCCAGAAGGCGGCGGGGCTTATCAGCAGCCCTCGCGCCTACTCGGAATCCTTACAAGCCTCCTCCGAAGCCGCAGGCGGTTTCTCAGAGGGCGCGAGGGCTTTTGGCAAGGCTCGCAGCCTTCTGAGAGAAGGCTTGCGCCCTCTCACTTCCCCCGTACAGTCAACGCGCCTAGTAAGGACGCGCGCCTTCATCTGCAGTTAGGTGAATACTTTGGTACTGGAAATCCTGACCGAGAGGGCCATGAGTTATTGGTGGTTGGGGCGTGGATCGCTCTACCCACCGTCTGAAACGACGGCAGTAACATCGCCGCCTTCCATCGTAGAACATGTAATGCTGGAACCCACCTGTCTTGTAAGCATGAGCTGCTGGAGCCACTGTCCGTCGTAAAAATTGGGTGCTGGAACCGACGCCGTGGGCTGCTGGAACTGCCTTCCCTCTTAGAAAATGTGGTGATGGAACCCACCTGCCTTGTAGGCAGAAGCTGCTAGAACAGCTGTCCCTGGTAAAAATTCGGTGCTGGAGCCGACGCCGCGGGCTGCTGGAACCGCCTTCCCTTTAGAAAATGAGGTGCTGGAGCCCATCTGTCTTGTAGGCAGAAGCTGCTAGAACAGCTGTCCCTGGTAAAAAACCTATGCTGGAGCCGACGCCTTGGGTTGCTGGAACCAGCTTTCTTCCTAAAAATTGGGTGCTGGAACCGATATGTCTTGCAGGCATGAGCTGCTGGGACCACTTTCCCTCGTAAAAGTTGCGCGCTGGAGCCACACTCCGTTTAGGGTTAGTAGTCACGCCTCGCTCCCACATGGGGGCAGTCTGCGCGCGCTCGTGCGCGTGCGGTCGGTCGGTCGGTCGATCGGTCTAGTCGTCGGCGTCGGTCGAACGTCGGTCCGTCGGTCGTCGTCGGTCGTCGCCGTCTTCGTCGGTCGGTCGGTCAGTCGGTCGTCGTTGCTCGTCGTCGTCTCGGTCGGTCGAACGATCGGTCGTCGTCGGTTGGTCTGACGGTTGGTCTTTCGTTCGGTCCGGTCGTCGGTCGGTCGTCGTCGTCGTCGGTCGTCGTCGTCTCGGTCGGTCGGTCGGTCGCTTTGGTCGTCGGTCGGCGGTCGGTCGGTCGGTCGGTCGTCGTCGACCGTCGTCGTCTCGGTCGGTCGGTTGGTCAGTCCGTCGGTCGGTGCTGCTTCGCTGCGTTGCGCTGCTCCGACGCCATGGCGCTCTCTCAAAGAGCGCCACTGGGGCCAAACAGGCTAGTGATGCAACGGTGATCACAACATGACGCACCTCCTAAAACGCCCCCCGATACGTGCACATGAGATCCCAAATCCCACTACCAACATGATTCACCTGATTGTAGGGTGCCCTTGTGTCCCTGCCTCTGCGGCCCGTCCTCTGCGTTTTCCCTGGTCGCCCGCAGCGTAGAAAATCCCAACTTCGGCCTCCAAGGCTCTTGCGTCCTTACCACCCCTCCCCAACATGCGAGGCGGGGATTTCTCCATACCCACCGCCTGGGAACCGACGTCCTGGTGCCCCAGCGGGCGGTGGATGTGTATATATTTCGACCCCTGGGGGCCCGAATATGCCCATATCCACCGCCTGCCGAGGCTCCGAAAACTGACTCTACAGGCGGTGGCCATGTATAAATTCCCGCCTCGGACAGCACACGTCTTGACTGCAGGCTGCACGGCACCCTTTTTTTTGGGGGGGGGGGCAGCGCCCCTCTGCAGCGCGAGCCGTGCGCCTGGCCGGGCTCCCCGTGCGCGCCCCGCGCGGCATCGGCTCTTGGGGGGAGGCTGCCCGAGGTCGGGTCAGTCCCGGCCCATTCTTCCAGGCGAGTTCCCAGGCCAAAGCTCCCGACGGCGCGGCGAAAGATGAGGAGGCTCAGAAGCGAGGGGGCACCCTGGGATACACCCCAAGGGGCTCTTCGGACGAGCCCCCCTCGAGGATGGCTGCCGCCCCTATCGTTGTATGTTAGGGTTTGGGCCCCAGTTTTCTGGTCCAGTCGAACACCTCCCCTGGAATAGGTCGACTGGTCCCCTGCTTCAGTTTGGCAAGAAGGGAACACAAATCTTTCCGAATAGTGACTGATCGTGTCGGGCCCAGTGGCGTAGAGACCGGGTAGAGCAGAATTGGTGGCATCCGAGGCACGGTATCCTTACACCGTACAGGTTTTTTTCTTGTTGAATTGTTGATGGATGTTGGTAGATGTGTAATGTTGTGTTATAGGCTTTGTCAGTGCTGGCACTAAATTGTGAGTTGCTTGCGCTACGCATGTGCGCTATGGGAATTCAGGGGGGGGCGATTTCTAAAGTCGGCTGTATCTTGACGCCCTGTCTGATATTACCGTGGGGCGGTGAATTCTACTGTATCAGCAGCCCTCGGCCTCCCTGTCCCAACGCGCTGGTCCTCCGTAGCTTGGGATGTGTTTGCATTCGCTCAGCGGCAGTTGTGTTACGATAAGCTGCTTGGACTGGAAGGGGCCGAATAACCAACCTACGACACGGGGAGACATACCAGAAGTTCTGCAATCCGATTACACAACATGACGACCATATGGAGTCACCGTTGGCAGGGACAGCTACCAATGTAGGCATTTCATTCACTAGAGCTCGATATGATGCTGATGTGCAGCTGTTTCCCTGATGGAAGCAGAGCCACTGCGCCACGGCTTGGCACAGACATATCTCAGCGAAGCACATCATCCTGCATCATGCCGTCAGCATACCGCCGCCTTGCATGGTAAACCATTGCACACCATATCGTAGCATCGTGCCAGGTCAGGGAAGCATGGTGAGCCAAGTACTATCATAGCTGATGCTTGCCCCAAGTAAGGTACGGCAGCACATGATATCGGAGCAGACCGCGAGCAGGGAACACCGTGTCATGTTATAGCAGAGCGTGGTACCGCAAGAGCACCTGGGGCCACCTGGCCTCTTGCATAGAGCAAGCAGGAGCCCCCTATCGGAAGCGAGGTCCGCTTGCTGGCGCACCAATACATGCTTTGGGAAGCGGGGGAGGGGGAATTTTGCACCGAGGTCTTCATGCTGCTAGTCGGGCTGTCGATGCCCTCTCTTTTCGCGGGCGGGGCGGGCACGATGAGCACGGCCACGACCGTGTACCACGTCTTCGTAGTTAGCGTGCTCATGGTGATCGGGAAGATGCTGCTACTCTTCACCTACAGGGACGAGGCCAATCTGCGCACCCGCCTGGCACTCTCGCTGGGCATGTGCCCCCGCGGCGAGGTCGTGGGTTGGGAGGGGGGGAAACATGTACTCCCACTCGGCCGACGCCGGGACATCCAAGCATCATTCGGGGGCAATGTTGACGTCAGGTGTCCGATCATCGACAGGTGTCGCACCGGAAGCAGCCGAAGACTTCCCCGAGTGCCGTCCGAAGACCGCCGAAGACCGCCGGTATAAGGGGTTCCATGGTCGAATGAGTAGCTGATGGTAGGACCCAGGCTTTCCCAAGACCACTTAAACAGCACGATTCGAGGTCGGCGCCGTGCTTTGTGCACTCGTGAATTGTCGATTTGTTGTTCAGGCCACGATTCATTGTATGAGTTTGCCTGTTGCTGGTCGGCTTGTACGTTGTTTCTGGCTGGCCTGGCGGCTTTTTGATTCGAGACGTGGTTGTGTCACCCGTGGTGTTTTGCATGCGAGAAAGGAAAAAGCGATTCGAGGTCGGCGCCAAGGGACCGACCGACGAAAGCGACGACGGCTCAGGTCGGCGCCGGGGTAATCGCCATCTCGCTCGGCCTCGGGATGCGTGGACCTTAGGAGGCTCCGATCGCCTCTGGTGCCACGGCCTCCAACGTCGCGATCACTGCCATCACGAGGAGACGAACCACAATGCAAGTCCACCTCGTCCCTTTCCTCTCCACCCTCCTCGTCTGGTCGTGTACCTCCTTCCTGAAAGGGGGGGAGGAGGAACGAGGTGGGGCAGCGTCGCCTCTGCCCCTCTGGGCTTCTCTGCTCTTTCCTGTATCTGGTTGCACTTCAAGCCTGCACGCGGCGACGGTCTGATTTACTCGATTGCCCGTGGCCTAAGTCGGCGCCTCCTCCTCTTTCTCATAAGAACGCTACAGCTAAGTCGGGCCTGTCCCTCTACAGGAGAAATATTCAAAAATAATAAAGAAATAGTATGGGGATATTTGCGGGGTATTTTGACCATTCGGGGTGTATTTTTTGAATATGTTTAGTCTTTCGTCCAACATCTCCTTGTAATTAGTCGGACATGCCCGACCTAACGCTACAGCCCTACAACGCTCAAGTTCGCCCAACGTAAAAAAACACGAGGTGGACCTGCATTGTTGCCCTCCTCTGTGGTCTCTGGAGCTCTTGGCCCTGGCACCGTGTTCTCATCCTGGGCTGTCTTTTCCCGCTGGCGCCGTGGACAGGGAGGGGCCTTCCTGGAGGGTTCAGAAACTCAAGCAAGAAGAGCCAGCCATGCTGATGCATGTCGCAATTCGTCGGCGGGGCCAGCTGCATGCAGCTCCGATTCGCTGATCCCCCCCCACCAATGTTCGCCCACCCGTGCTGATAGGGTCTAGGCCTCCTAGATGGGGTCGGAGTAGGTGGGGCCGGTCGTCGATGCGGCTCGACGTGGGCCCGATTTGCTTAACTTCGACGTCTCCGATGCACCGCCGACGTCGTCGATGCATCGCCAGTGCATCACCGATGCATCGCCGATGCATCGCCGATGTATCGGCGACCCCATCTACCCCGATCTCATTTAGGAGGCCTCTATAGGGGAAGGTTCTGGCTTCGATGTGCTGTTGCGGTTTCAGGCTGGCGAGAACTAGCGTTGTGACTGGCAGGATGGGGGACAGGATGGCAGCAAGGACGGCGACATGTTGGTTATGAAATGGATGGCGGCGAGGAAAGCAGTGGTGCAGATATCTCTGGGGTGGTATTTGATTGGTTGGGGGAATCGCCTTTGCACTGCGGGCAGCGCGAGGGACTCCTGGCAAAGTCCAGGAATCTGGCAGACACTTCAGCCATTACCCGTGAGTTCGTCTTGGAATTTTGGATGATGCTGCCGGATCGGAGAGAAACGCAATGGAAAATTTCGGAAGCCCCACGGCCACTTGAAGGAAGCCACAGAAAGACCGCTCGTTTTGGAAGAAGCGCCAAGCGTACTTTACATGTTTCACGACGAAGCCCCGCGATCAATGCATCGACGCCTACGGCGAATCACCACCGCCCCTTGCCTTTTGGAAGCGCCTACGTGGCGAAACGTTGCGGCCAGAGCTTGGCCAAGGTATTGGACCATGTGTTCCCCCAGGCGTTGTAGAAACCCTTCGGGAATCACGGGTGCTGTTTTCCGCAGGGCCAGCGGCGTCAGCCGAGACCTCAGTGGGAACCCGTTTTTTATGTAGCAATATCCTTCGATATGTATGTGTTTAGATGTTTGAAGGTGTGATCCTATGCAGGAATGGGTGTATGTATGTACATACGTACGAACGCATGTCTGTATTGAAATATGCATGTAAATATGTATGCGTGCATGCATGCATGCATGTATGTATGTGCTTGTGTAAATATATATATGTCGGTTTTGTGTATTGTATATATATATATATACATATGCAAGCATACATATATATAAATATGTATGTATAGATGTGTGGGGCTGTATGTATGTATGTAAGTATGTATATATGCATGCACGCAGGTATGTGTGTCATGTCTGGTATGTGTGTTATGCCTGTCTGTCTGTCTGCCTGTCTGTCGGTCGGTAGGTTTGTCTTCATGTATGTGTATCTATGTGTGTATGTATGTATGTATGTAGGTAGGTAGGTCGGCAGGTAGGTGTGTATGTATGTGTGTATGTATGCATACATGTACATATGTATGTTAGTATGTCCGTAGCCATTTTGGCTCAAGCTGCGCTCAAGCCGCATCATATTTTGAGATCAGTGCCAGCAGCTCAGTGGAGATGATCTACATCTTCAAGGGTATCCAGTCCATCTGCAGCCTGCCCGGCTACATCTGCACGGGGTGCGGTGAGGCCTGCAGCAGGCTGAACTGCAAGCCGTGCCAGGACGTGTGCGTCAATTGTGGCAGCGCGGTGACGCGCTTCTTCGAGAGGCCGCTCAGCACCTTCGTGATCTTCGCGTTCCTCTGCGTCGGCGCGTCCCTCTACAGCTCCGCGCTGTCCTTGGGTGGCGATGCCGACGCCTGCAGCTTCCGAGGGGACGTCTCGCCCATGACGTACGTCGGTGCGCAGGTTTGCTTGGCAGTGGTATTCTTGTTCTTCGCGCCCTACTTGCAGCGTGCAGTCTGGACGGCGATCATGGAGAGCTTGAAGGAGGACCCCGATAAGAAGGTAGACCTGGTCGAGTCGAAGGACGCGGATGCTCCTCAAAAGATCAGAGTTAGGAAGGAGACGGTGCAGGATGCATTCAGGAAGGTCTTCTTGGAGGACCTCTTCGTGCTGGTCATCTTCGTCCTGCTGTGCATCAACGCCGCCCTTTCAACCTACGTCCACGTCGCTCCGGACTGCCAGATGCCCGGCAAGCCGTACGGGACCAGCCTGCCCAAGGGGATGCTGGCCTCGTGTACGTTGTACACGTTCTTCTACTACTGCTGCACCTGCTGCGCGAACAAGGTGGAGATCGAGCGGAGCGAGGTGCCCGAGCTGGGGCAGCCGCTCAGGCGCGACGACAATCTGGGGCCGTGAGCGGCTCGAGAGAGGGCGAGCCTCGCGGCGTGCCCTCTCTTGGCCAGCCGCGGCCTCGCTCACGGGCCCCTCCGGCTGCGCCTCGCACTCCCTGCAGGTTCCGCAGCACAGCGCGCGGGAATTCGCGGCGCGTCATGGAGGCAGACGCCCTCCAGTGCGCGCCGTCGCGCGGGGCGAGGTGCCGGGGACTCCCTCGCGCCCTCCCGCCCAGTGCCCTCTGGCCGCCTCGCGCCTGCGCGCCGCCACCCTGGACGGTCGGCCCGGCCTGGTGAAAACAGGCATCCAGGGACGGCGTAATTTCCCAACCCATTCTGCAACGAATGCTATGTATGCATGTATGCATGCATGTAGGTAGGTAGGTAGGTACGTACGTACGTACGTATGTATGTATGTATGTGTATGTGTGTGTATGTATGCATGCATGCATGCATGCATGCATGCATGCATGATTGTATGTATGTATGTATGTATGTATGTATGTATGTATGTATGTATGTATGTGTGTGTATGTATGTATGTATATATGTATGTATGTATGTATGTATGTATGTATGGATGTATGTATGTATGTATGTATGTATGCGTGTAATTATGCGTGTGTGCATACCTGTGTGGATGCATGTGTTTTTGTGTATGCATGTATCTATGTAGGTAGCTAGCCAAGTATGTATGAATGTATGCATGCATGTATGTATGTATGTGTGTATGTATGCATGTATGTATGCGTGTAAGTATGCGTGTGTGCATACCTGTGTGGATGCATGTGTGTTTTTGTGTATGCATGTACGTATGTAGGTAGCTAGTCACGTATGTATGTATGTATGTATGTATGTATGTACGTACGTAGGTACGTATGTACGTATCTACGTATGTAGTATGTACGTATGTATGTATGTACGTATGTGCGTATGCATACATGCATGCATGCATACATGCATGCATGCATGCATGTATGTATGTATGTATGCATGTATGTATGTGTATGCGTATTCGCCTGTGTATGTCTATGTCTATGTCTATGCCTATGTCTATGTGTATGTGTGTGTATGTGTGTGTATGTGTGTATGTGTATGTGTGTATGTGTGTATGTGTGTATGTGTGTGTATGTGTGTAGGTGTGTAGGCGTGTAGGTGTATGTGTATGTGTGTCTGTTGTATGTGTATGTGTGTATGTGTGTATGTGTGTAGTGTGTATGTGTGTGTGCGTGTATGTGTATATGTGTATGTGTGTATGTATGTGTGTATGTAGGTTCGTATATCCCTTTTCATATATGCTCATAGGGCCGGGGGCTCCGGAACCCCCGCCCCCCGCCTAACGAATTGGGCCCACCCCGGGCCTATCGTGCAACCCTCCGAACGAGCCGGGAGAACCCCACGAGAGCCCGAAGACGGCCCCAGAAGGCTCCAGGCGTTCCGGCGCGCTCCCGAAACGACCCCAGACAGCCCCAAGACGGTCCACGACGACCCCAAAGGAGCCGTCATACGCCAAAGATGATTCCAAAACGTGCCAAGAGGCCTCCAAGAGCACTCCCAAGAGAACCCCAAGAGGCAACATTCATTGATTGTTTGATGGTTTGTCGTGAATTGTGGGGTTCTTCTTTATTCGGCTTCCCGACGCTCCAAGACGGCCCACGAGGTCCCCAAGATCGCCGTGAGACGGCCCGACAGACTTCCAAGAGGGCCCCGAACCGGTTTAGGATGGATATGTCGATGGGTGTTTGTCTCTCAGGGGAGGG